TAAAAATGGTTATTACATTTATTTATTTTTTACTTTAAAACGTCAATTTATCTAGTGACTGTATTTATCTTAAAAATAACTACTTAGTTATAGGTACGAATTTTTTCAAATGTTAGAATTACTTTTCAGAATTTCTAGAAATTTTAATGTTTACAATAGTTATCTACAAGTAAGAAACAAATAAACATTTTAACAGGCAAGGTAATGAATTTTACCTGCCTAAGGAGAAACGAAAGCATATGCGGCTAGATTTAATTAATGGCAAAACTAGGTTATTTCTTTATTTATTTGTTTAGTCTTTAGGGCAAAGTTTAGCCGAGGCTTAATACAAAAATACAACTGAAACAGAATGTAAAAAAATATAATAATAATAATAATAAGAAATATAATGTATTAAAAAAAGAGAAATATTAGTTTTGTTGTATCAGCTCCAGATTCTTCAGTTTATTTTACAAAACAAAATTACACTTATTTGACCCGTTTTTGCTTTTACGAATCTTTTGAATTTTTTGTCTCGTATCTGAAAAGTCTAAATTTTTCGAAAAACCACCAAAAAACTCGCAAAATATTGTGGGCAAATATTTTGTCATTTAAACCAAATCTGTCAAATCAGTCAAATTCGTCAAAATTTTAAAAATTTGGAGCAATGCCGAGTTCTGACCAAATCAGTTCAGCTGGAGTCTCTCGCACTTCCACCTTCCTCGAAAGTAAATACTCAAAATGTGAGTTTTCCCTTTTCCCAACTCCCAAACCAAACCCAAACTTCCAGATTTTGTTATCCCTCAACGTTACATCTTTTGCCTCCTCGCTGCTCTCATCGTCCTCAACGCCACTTCCATCGAATACAGTTTGGAAATCATTGCTTTGAATAATTTCATTTCGGACAAACAGATCCAAACCAACGACACGTGTCCCTTCACCAATCAGACCCAAAAAAGGGGCCAAATACGGCCCACAAACGACTCGCTTCTGATTTATGACTGGAAACTTGACACGCGATACATGATCAGGGATTCGTTCTTTTGGGGTACTTTGTTGTCTTTTATCCCAGGAGGGGTCTGTTCGGATCAGTTGGGGGGCAAATACATTGTGACTTTGAGTGTCTTGTTCACTGCTTTTACCAATTTGGTCGCCCCAGCCATCATTGATATGGGCAAGGGGAGAGTGGGATTTGTGATAATGGTTCGAGTTTGCCTCGGTTTGTTTTACAGCGTTTTGGACGCGGCGATAATGTCGCTTCTTGCACGTTGGGCCCCAATTTACGAACGTGCCACCATGACGGCCCTCATCTACGGGAGCAAAGTCCTAGGGGAGCAAATACCCTACCTTGTGCATAAAGCCTTTCAAAATTTCACTTGGAGACCCATGTTCTACTTGTTTGCTTGTGTTCATCTCATTTTGGGCGTTTCTTGGCACTTGCTTGTGTATCCAAGTCCGGCCCAAAACCCGTTTTTGACTTTGAGTGAGAAGAAATATTTGGATGAGGAGCCCGATTTGAGTTTGGTTGATGGGTGGAAGGAAATCCCATGGAAGAGGTTGCTCACATCGAAGGCTTTTTTGGGCTTGTGTTGTTTCCAAATTGGGTCGGGTTGGGCCTGGGTTGTGTTTCGAGAAACGCTTTTTTTGTATATGCCGAGAGTTTTGAAATCGGGGGCTTTATGGGAGTCGGCTTGGTGGACCCCTTTATTTCTTTACTATGGTTTGGCGATATTTTATGGGTTTGTGGCCGATTGGTATGTTAAAGGAAGACATTTGAGTGTGACTGCAATGCGAAAAATTTACATCCTTATAAGTAAAATATTCTAAATCAAAAATTGTAAATAATTGAAATTTTAGGCAATTTTGGACCCGCTTTATGTCTCATTTTTGTGTCCTTTGAACGCTGTAATGAATTCACAGTTATGATTTACACAACAATTTCTTTGTGTTTGGATGCGATGTATTTCTCCTCAAATATGACTAATTCCTTGGACTTGGCGTCCAATTTTTCTGGGATTATAACAGCAATCACTGGTTCTCTCGAATACTTAATTTTTGGATTGAGTTCTCGATTAATTAATCGTTTCTTTACGACTGAAGTAAGTTCAAATTTTAATTACCCTAAGTACTAACTTTTTTAAGGATTCTTTGAGTCAATGGAGCTTCTTACTCTGGCTCACGTGTGCTATTGAAATTGCTGGTGCTATTGTATTTTTAATGGTTGGGAGTGGAGAAACACAAAATTGGAATTACGTCGAGAAGGCGATCAATTAAAAAACAATAAAAACAAATTTGAAAACATCTAATCATTTTATTTTATATGAATTATAGAACAGTTTACTATTTCGGTAAGAACCACCCGTGTAAGCACCTTGGCACCTCCCCCGGCGTCTCAAACTCCGCCCTCCCCAACTCGGTCATGTCCCTACCGTCCAAGACCACCAATCCGACCCGATTTGTCACTCCTTTCCCCCACAAAAGTACCGCTACCACTACTCCATCATCCTCGGACTGACCATTGGGCCGTGGTACAAAAATGGGTTCGCTGGGATAACAATTATCCTCACACCATGTCTTGCAAATTTTCAAGGTCGTATCAACCTTGATTATAGTTCCAGGATTGGCCGAGTCGACGTCAGCGCTAATGGCGTAAAAGTATCGATACTGCTTTCCTGTATAGCTAATTTTAGTAAACTTTTCTACCAAATTGATCAATACCTGAATGGTTGTAATTTATTCTAGGCGTTTCGCAACCTTGATCAATTATTTGTTCCGGTTTTAGTAAAATTGTTCCGTCAGGTTGGTAGTAAGCTTCGGCGTGTGTTAATTCGAGTTGGATTAGATTCGTTTTTGTTTTGGTGGGGTTTAGGGGAAGTACGAAACGGAGGGGTTTGGATCGGAACATTTCGGCATAGTTCGGGTTGTGTTGCATATTCTAGAAAACCGGATTTTTTGAAGTGTGTTAAGTGAGAAAATTTGCAGAAACCTGCATTGCTTCAATGTACATGCCTTCTAGGGGTGCTGCATCGCGATAGGTGCAAATGTCAATAATTACGTAATCCCCCACTTCGTATTGGTTGATTATATGAAAGAAAAAGAACGTTTGAGAGTAAAACCTGTGTGATAATTTTCCACTTTTACGACTAATTAGACTAATCCGTGTCTGAAAAAATCGTGACAATTGAGATTTTCCATGAGTTGTTTTTTACTTTTTCGTGTTGGTACCACCGGAAACTACCAGCCAAAGGCTCATCTTTTATTTTGTTGGCAACCATGGCACTGACTGACATGCTAAAAGGGTGCTCAACAAGAATAAAATAATTTTCAGTTATTCCTACAATAAATTTATCAAATTTCAATTTGGTGATTTTTCAAGTAGCAACCAAAACTGTGCATGTAAGTCGGGTGCAAATTCCATCTTACGGGAATCCCCGCAACAATCTCAGCTTGTTCAAACATACTTTTCTTTCCAAATTTCGGCGGGAATTTAACAATTGAATGATAAGAACCAGTGGGATACGTTGTCAATGCTAGATTAAACACAGTACCTTAAAAAACCAACTTGACAAAAAAAATACCCTAAAATAACAAAATACCATCGTTCATGACATGTGGATGTGACGTATGATGAACAATTGATACAAAATCACTGACATTAACCCTGTCAATTGTTTCCAAGCTAACTTGATCAATTTTATGAATTATTGGCATTTCCCCAAATGCGTAAAGCTCATCTTCGAACGGATAAACCGAAATCATGGAATTATCCGGATGATCATTAGGCCTGAAAATCGCAGCAACCCTGGAAAAACATTTGATACGCCTCACAATAATCGATGGTACCTATCAAAAATCGTTTTGCACGGATCAGGAACTGCTTTGGTGCCAAATTCGGTGAAAACAATCCGATTGGCTGCTCGGTTCCGTTTGAAGACTTCTGATTGGACGAATCGACATTGATACGTTATGGCCCCGCTTTCGATATTAAATCTATGGCAACGATTACAACTGTGGCAATTGATTGGTTAATAAGTACCGGTGGAGTAGGGCCGAACTGTCAAATAAATGGCCATATTGCTCATCGCCGACTTTGATGGAACCGGGACCATTCCGGATAAGCGAGCCTTGCAGCCATGGTGGGATGGTACCAGTGATGGTACCCGTGATGGGTTCGGGGATTTCCCGAGTGCACGAACGGAGCCAAACCGTGATGTCGTAGTGGGGGTAGAGGGGCTACAAGTAGAGAATTTTGGCTTTGTGAGGGTGGTAGGAGTGACTTACTTCTGACATTGTGTTAGTTCTAGAAAAAAAAAGTTGTGGTATAGTTAAGGCCAGTTTTTCGCAATTAATGTTAGTAAAATTAATAACAAATTATGCTAAAATTACGATTATTTCAATTTATGAAATAATAGCTGAATTTAAACTTGACTAAATATTATTTTTTATAGCGGAAACAATTTCGATTACAAAATTTCGTGCTATTAGAGCGACAAACAAAAAACTAAATTTCTTAAGTTCGATTGTCGCAACAATCGATTTAAAAGCAAAATTTCAAAAGACTTGTTTCATTGATAGAATGTTTCTTTGGCGGGCTTGTTTCTTCTTGAGTTTTCTTCGAAATGAGTGTTGCAAAAGTGACAAAACTCTTCGCTGCAAATATAATGAAAAAATAAAATATGAAGTTACAAGCAATATTAATGGACCTGAAATATTTTACGACTTTACTGTCAGTACTGATATTTCAGTATTAAATGCTGCAATAAAAAATGAGATTTTCATGATTTGCACCAAACATTTTAATTTTAGTTATCCTTTATCTAGTCTTGGAATTGATTATTGCGGAGTGCTGGAAATTGAAACTGAATTTTTGATGAACACACAGTACCATCCTGTTATTTTGTCTTTAGTCGGAAACAGGATTACAGCAATAAAGAAACACACTTTCAAAAATCTCAAAACAAATGTGTTTGATTTGAGTGACAATTTTATCGAGTTTATTGAAGAAGAGGCTTTTTTCAACTTGGTAAATGCAGATTTTATCAAATTGGAGACAAATCGAATCAAAATGTTTAATTGTAATTCTTTTGTAAACGTTCCAAGTTTGAAAACTTTGAATTTGGAGGACAACCAAATCCAGCATCTGGGCAAAAACGATTTTAAATTTATTCAAGTCGATGGAGCTACTCTAGAGTTGGGATTGAACAGAATTTCAAATATTCATCCAGGCGTTTTTGACGATATGACTGCCGACAATTTGACTGTCAATTTGCAACATAATTCGATAACGAGCATTCCGGTTAGGATTTTTCAGTCTCGTAATTTTTTGTCATTTAATTTGGCTGGAAATCAAATTAGACATTTGAAATTTGATATTGAGTTTAAGCCTACAGTTGGAATCTTGTCAATCAATGACAATTTGGACGACGAAATTAGAGAAGATTTAATGTTTTTCACAAATAACTTGCAATTACAGAGCCAAGCAAATGTTTTAGCACACAGAATTGGCTCTTTGATCGTGTTGGCGGTGTTTTTTTTTTTTCAATAAATTAGATATGAGTTTGTTTTAACCACGCCCCTGACACACACCCTTCTCCACAGAACAGAGAGAATAAGAACTGAAATCTCCCTAGAAAATCACTGGCAACACGAGCCTCTGGTGGTCAAGTGCGTTACTAACACGGAATGGCGCGGCATTTAAATAGACCGCCTTCATTTTCAATTATTATTATTATCTTGCAAGTTTGATTTCAAATTTTGTTTAAAATAAAAATTAAAAAATTTTCATTTTAAACAAAATTTGAAATGAAACTTGCCATTATTAAATTGTTTCAAAACACATTTTTCGTTAAACTTTTTTATTGTAAATTATCAATAACAAAATAATACAACAAATCAAATTTCTATGAAATTAAATTATTATTAACGTATTATTTTCTATAAAATCAGTCAGTGTTGGCATGTGCCTGCCAACAGGAGCAGACAGGCAAAACATGCCAAATCTGCCCTTGAAAGTCTCATTTTGCTTAAAATGCCATTCTTGTCACCTTCATTCAAGAAAGCAAACTTTTTGCACCTCCCAGTGATTGCATTAGTACCCTGACAATAATTATGGTCTTGT